TGCTGGTGCTGTGGTCCCTGCTGCTGCTGCGGCAGGTTCCCCGTCCCCGCTGCCTGCCTTGCTCGGTACCGCGCTGGGTGCCGGTCCGTGCCCGGCCCTGCAGGCCGGCGCCGCGGTGAGCCGGGCCCGCGCGGGGTGCCGCAGTGCAGAGCAGCGCTGACGCGGACGTGCAGCCTGCTCTGCTGCACGCGCTGAAGGGCCCGGCGAGTTTGCAGCCTCGCAGCGAAGATCCAAACTCTCATTACTCGTGTGAGAATAATTTTGGCAATGTTATGTATCCACAACTGTGTTTCTTTTCTGTCAGAGAACTACTTCTGGACTTCCATTTTTGCCACTATCTTTCTTGCTTAGCCTTTTGAAGGGCAGATAAAAAGCACAGACGCAATTAATATTTTGAAAGCTGAAAAATATTTGTGGATGCAGGATGGGTGGCAAGCATTTCTTTGTATTACCTGTTTCACCAGCTTGCTGGCAGCTGTGTAGTTATATGAACTTTTATATAAGATAGACCCGTCAGTACTGTCAAACCTTACACATTCGAATTTTGTCCAATTTTTGCCCTCTGTTTTACACTGCTAGTGCCTGCTGCACACATTCGGCCTTCGGGGCAGAACGGCTGGAGCTCACCCTCAGTATTTGCCTTTTGGTCTCTTCCAGTTTCCCACTCTGCTAAACGGCCACATTCCAGTGCCACTTCCCAGTCTGGATGGAGCCTCCTCTCCAGTCCTGCTCTCGCCAAATGCCCACAAATCCTGATGATGCCTCAACACGTCAAGGACTCACTGGTGGATTTAACACTTCATTCCTATGGGCTCCTTTTTCCTGTGTCATGAGAAGGACATTGTGAAACCCTCTATTACTTTGGTTTGCACTTTTCATTACATGGATAATCTACTTTTATTATGTTAGCATTTTAAAACAGTGTTTATATATAAAAATATATATAAATCTGTTTTGCATTAAATGAATTATAATTTTTTTATATCATAGCTCTCAAGTGTTGAACACTTCTGTTGTTGATGAAGTACTTCTCTTAATGGATTGCAACAATGTATCTAATAAGGATGTGAAGCTTGTTTTAATCCCTTTTTCTGCATATTATGCATTGTGCTTGTGTAAACTATAACCGGCTGTGCCTTCTTTTGCATAATGTCATGTAAATGATTTATATATTTTCTAGTATTAAGATAAAAAGTTGAAAGACAAAACTAGTATTGAAGAGCCCTATGGTAGTATTTCAGTATTTTCTCCACAGATAGGCCGTATGATGCAGTGTATTCATGTAACTTTGTATTAAGTGCTTTCAAATTGTATAAAAATAGCCTTATAACTTTTCTTTGCTGAATTGAAAGGCGTAATAACTGTTACAGTCAGGAAGTGCATTGAAAAGAAACAGAGCCACGTTCACCCGCTCGTGCCCAAGCACCTCTGTGGAGTTGCAAAGGGAGGAACCGGGCTGTGGCCATTCCCGAAACGCTTCCAGCACTGGGATTTGCTTGGCATGCGCTTCCTGCAAAGAGCCAGCGTTAGAGCTGGAAAGGCTGCAGGCCATCGCTGTTCTCCCAGGGAATGAGGCCCGTTCCTCACAGACCATTTCA